TTCAATTTCCGCCATCTTTGACTTCAAAAACAAAGCCGGAGTTATCGTTCCAGTTTTTATAGAGTTCATTGGTATTGATAGATTTCAGTAACAGCATACACTGGTCAACATTTGAATTGTAAGAGCAGTCATCTCTCAATTCAATTTATTGCCACCAAATATACAAGACAACTGCACATAATGAAACCTACTTATTAGAAATCAATTCGATTTTATCCATTGAGATATTGCAATAGTTCGCAACATCTATATAAAAATAGCCTGCAAAGCAGGCGTTTCAGTTTTTGGCTGCAGCCACCAAGACTAATTTATCTTAGATCAATCAATACGGTGTTTTGACTGAAATTTTACTGTTTATTGAATAATAATCTGTGAAATACTTGTGAAATACTAAATAGAGTAATAGATTGTGTTTTTTTTTCTGTTAAAATGTGCAGCTTCGTAAATTCTAGATATTTGTCAACTCAGAATAAGACACAAAATTCAAGGTTATATTTCGACTCTACAGGGTGTATATTGAAATTGCTCTCAATTTGAAATTGCTCTCAATTTCGCAAAACAGCTCGTGGTATGAAGTTTTTGTTATATATAGATTCCTAGAGTACCCATAATGTAGAATAATGAAAAAAAATACGGGAACTCAAATTGTGTAAACCAGGGGGGTGTTTCTTTTCCAACAAAGTAAAAATGGCTTGCGAACGAAATTTAAAAGCTTTAATCGTATTTTAAGTTAATGGATGTAAAATTTGTTGGGTTTTTCATTACTGTACAAAATTTCAGACAATTTGCTTTAGTTACACCTTTAACTATTCATTTTTTCCTAAAAAATCAGCCTTTCGCATGCTTAATCAGCCTTTACCTAATTTGCATATTGCTGACATATAATGCAAAGGCATTAATTAAGCATGCAAAAGGCTGATTTTTTTAGGCAAAAATGTAATTTTGCATGCGTAATTAAGATATTTGATGAAAACACTAGTGACTTTCATCAAGTATCCAAATGGCATCTTGTGATCAAATAGGTGATTATCATTGGCTGAATTGCTCATGAATTATTAATGAATTTGAGAAGTAATATGTGAACAACGAGATTTGCAAACAATATCCAAACACGAGAAAACAATGGATATCCAAACACGAGAAAACAATGTATGAAAACACGAGCGCTTCGTACATCAAAAACTGGATACTAATAGCTGTTTTGCGAAAATGAGAGCAATTTCAAATCTGTTCACCCTGTATTGTTGCAATCAATCCCTTGACAAAGATTGGCGGTCATTTTGGAGGAAAACATGCTACAAATACAATAGCTGCTAATGACATTCGGCCATATTCAGTACTATGGTACACTGTGGTACTATGGTACTACAGTACTATGGTACTAAGGTGTTGCTGTACTTGAATACTATGGGACTGGGGTACTATCACAGATGAGGTAATACAGATGTGAATCTCCTGTGAAAATGTGTCACACGGATTAAATAAACTTTAAAATTGTATTAATTCACTATTTTATTAAATTTTGATAATGCAGAGGAATAAAACTATACATATTATAGAAGTATTCA